GGTGGGCCGGGATGCCCCCCCCCCCCAGCCCCGTTTCAACTCCACCCGATCCATCCAGCGCACGTTGCCACACAATGGGCCTCTCAGCTGAGTCGCACGAGTGGGAATATGTGTCGAGCGGATTCCTGCGGGATCCCTAAAACACACAAGCCCGGATGAGCGCAACACGAAAATAAGCAGTCCGGAGAAACGTGCTGTCATGGCGCTTTCAATTTTGACTGCTTTACTTCTTTTATCGTTTGCAAATGCAAGCCAGCGACTCCAGGATGTCGTTGCCTGAAAAACCGTCATGCCACCAAATTTTATGCTCAAAATAAAACAGCCATTTTCAATCTTAGCGCCACACAAGTGATTGCGTTAACTCCTCCCACGGCGCGTGCGGCACACCTCTGCCAAATGAGATGGAAATCGTCACAGTTTCTCCACGCCATCGATGACGTCATCAGCTGTGGCAGGCACCGGAAGCGTGTTCATTTCAGGTCAACGAGTCCCGGCCGGGACTTGAGCGAGTTCCCGAAGACAAAGTTCTTGCAGCCATGGAAGGGAAGCCCGAGACGAAGACACAACTGCATCTGGACACTCTTAAACGGGATGTTTATGCAAAACTTTGCCAAGTCTCGAGTCTCTGGAAGCCTGCGGCTCACGACAGCCTCGTTGGCAGGAACTCAGCAGACATCAGCCCGTGTGTCAAACACCACCGGAACCTTGTGACGTTAAAAAGACGAAATTTAAGAAAAATAATGTGCAGACAAGAGCCAAGTTCTTCCTTAACTCCTTCCTGGGGGGGGGGGGGGGGTTCTGCTTTTTGTTCCGCCTTTTGTGTTAACCCTCTCGGCTCGCCAAATGCCGTCGATCAATGAGGCCACTGAAGACAATGCTACCACGCTGGCTTGAAAGGTTAAAAAGGAAGCTATTGATTGACGAGAACGACATTAGCCGCACAGCAACACAATCTAAAACAGTAAACACGAGCTCAGATAGACCAGCTCCATCAGCACCGCTTGGGAAAAGATCTCGTTTGATTACAATTTCCAAGCAGAGTAAACTGCTGTCCATTGTGGGATGCAAGGTTCGCCGTGCCCTCTATGAATCCATTGCAACCTCTCAACAGGAAAAAAAACCTAGCCCTCTAACACGGTGTTGAGAGTTACAACACAGAGACACCGATGCTAATCGTTAGCCCGTCTATGGCACTTTGCATTGTTTGCTAGCATTCGGCTCTACGGACCATCATCCAAAGGTAAAGCTAACGTTGGTTCGCCAGTCCATTTCTCGGGCCAGACCAAGATGGATTTTTTTTTTTTTTTTTTTTGACGGCTATGACAATTCCAACAAGGATGATATTAAGTCTAACGGACACCAGAATGCCTTTTTGGCTTCCTTAACGCTCACAACAATAAATATATGAATTACAGGCAGACCATTTAACTGTTTTATTGTTTGTTGTCCTTTAGTATTTGTTTAACTTTGCAACAGAGAGAAAAACGGTCACAAATCTGCTGTTTATTATTAGTTTTTTTTTTTTGCCATTACAGCAATATGCCACTTCAAAGGCAAAGGCAGCACCATCTCCAATTTTGCAGGATCTCTATGGGTTATGCCACAAAAAACAAAACAAAAACACACACACACACACACACACACACACACACACACACACACACACACACACAAAAGCAATTACAATGTCATCAATCTATTTCTGCTTTCTGGCATTGTAAATCACAGAGAGACACCCAGGCGGGAGAGGAAGTGAGGCAAGGGAAGGCCATCCAGGCCTTCGCTGGAGCGCGGCGCGCCTCCTAACATGTGCGCGACATGTGCGCGCCTCTCGGGTCGCCGCACAGCCAGCAAGCCGGCGAGGACGAACGCGGCAGCCAGATCGGCACAGTGCCCCCCCCCCCCCGATCCATTAGTGCTCTCCTATCTGATGGATGAATTTTTAATGGCATTGACAGGAAACTACGTATTGTTAGGCCTAACACCTTGCTACGCATAATTCTGTCCTCCATACAAAACAAGCGGATACGTCGATCTTATCATGCATAACAGTGAGTTGCGAAAAGGAAACCGAAAATGTTTTTGTGGGGGCGGACCTGAATACATTTTGAGAAAGGAGACATGTAGGACAATATCAGCATA